ATATATATATATATATATATACACAACAACATCAAATTGAATAATTTCAACCATTCGTGTATGGTTAACGGATAATCTCACATGTCTTGTGGATCTTCGTGAACCATCCATGAGGGGTTCATCATTCACATCAGTTACAATTTCTTTTAAACTAATTCAATTTTAGTAAAAAAAAACTGATATTTATCAAGCCCAAATCTAAAACGAAATAACTTGAAACGTTAAAACCCACTTTCTAGAGTGTTCGAGTAATAGTTACGACTATTATACTAGAAACGGAGGTTTATTGATTACTACATGGATCACATTCATGTTTATCAACCAATAACCCACATCCAAAAACAAAAAGGGTGATATTCACTCATTTTCGTTGTGAAAGAGACGATAAACGACGACAATGATGACGAAAATGAACTTTTGAAAAGTGGTAATTGTGTAGTTCACGTGGTTTGTTCCGTGGACCTTGTGGTAATTTTGGTAAAACCCATAAAACTAGGGTTACTTTAATGTATACTCTTCAAACATATGATAACTTTAGTGAATAACTTAATACATAATGATAACATATGATAACTTTAGTGAATAACTTAATAATAATGATGTGTGTCCAATCAAACCCCAAAATCTTAAATAACTAACCATGCTAATTTTTTTGAATACAAAATACAAATAGAACAATCAAGTTATATAAATCTTGAAACCAATTAATATTAGCTCATTATGTGACGATTACGCACTTCTTGCTAATGCATGTCTAAGAGTTGCATCACCACCTAGACTCTAAATAGTCGAGACTGAGCATGTTATGACTTATGATAGAGTAAATTAATCAATAACATTATATTTATTTTTTAAAGCATTATTTCAAAATCAGTTTACTTAAAGTAGAATTTCCTAATTTTTCCTAATGCATGTCTAAGAGTTGCATCACCACCTTGACTCTAAATAGTCAAGACCGAACATGTTATAACTTATGATAAAGTAAATCAATCAATAACAGTATATTTATTTTTTAAAGAATTATTTCAAAATCAATTTACTTAAAATAAAACTTCCTAATTTTCCAAGTAAAAGAGCTCTATAATGCATACTTTACAATATATGTCAAATAGATAAATTTTTTGATATTTGAATCAACTTTGGTTGGTTCCCTGCATATGGGTTTAGGTTGCTGAGTTTGAATGTGATCCTATAATTTATATTCGTGCGTATCGGCCATCAAGACCTTGAGAACATGCACAATAAATAAAGTAACCCAAAACAATAAAATTACACAATACTAAAGAATTAAAGTTGTAACTAAAATTATCATATAACTTAGGACAATAAAAAAAATCACAAGTCCTTATCTTTTGGATACCTTCAATGCCTCACATGACTTCATCATGTCCTTGTTGTTGCTATCAATTAAATAATTTATTGTATTACATACTTCTAGCTCGTAGTCATTTAATCTTCTTGGCAACACTGAAGTTTGAGTGGACCGCCAAAGTGGGACAAAATTTGCATCGTTATTTTGATCATCAATGGGTTGCGATGGGCTGCTGTCACCATTAGGCACCGTGTCATCTCGAGTAGAGTTCGATTTCTCCGTTCGACTATACCATTTTGTTGAGGCGCACAAGGAGCCGTCAACATACGTGAAATCCATTCTTTGTTACAAAAATGGTTTAGCTCATACGATGTGAATTCTCCACCTCTATTCGTGTGGAATGTTTTGGTCTCTTTACTGATTCGCTTCTCAATTCATATCTTGAACTTTTTAA